TCAACATATAATTGATAAAATGAATAGTAAGCATGTGATTAGCTTCAAGGACAAAGATATATACATTTTATCTTCACAAATTAACCATTAATGATGCTTTGTATGAAGAGTTCAAAGTCAAGAAAACTTACCTTGAAACTGAAATTTGTGCTTTGATTTAGAGTTGCAGAAGCTAAGTTGCAGGTGGCTGTTTTTTTGGAAAATGGTGATGATGATGTAACATAAATTGTTCTTGTGTTTTAACAACTCCTGTATGAGGTATGTAAAGTGTTTGGATGGTTTGTTTGGATAGAACTTTGCAAAGTGTGAGAGGTTCAAAGATTTGGACTTCAAAACTCAAGAGTTGAGGCTTTGTGGATAGTTATGGCTTTTTGAGAGTGTGAGATTTTGAGGGCTTGTCTACACAAAAAAACTTCTGGCCCTTTATCTTGCAAATGGTCTCTCTATTTATAGAGAAGGTTTGAGACTTGAAACATCTCAGATTTTGAAATCACATGTTATGGCTATCTTGCTTGTTTTTGAAGCAAGCATGAAGAACATGTTTCCAATGTTTGTACCAAGCTATCTAAAGTGGTTGATCACTTTAAACATGTTTGTTCTGACTTGTAGGAGTTGAGTGTGATCAGAAAAACAAGTTACAGGCTCAAGAAATATACTCTGATTAAAGTGAACTTTTCAAGAATGGATATGTTATTTTCTTCCAAAAATGGAATGATCAATTGGACAAAGGCTCAAACACTTGGATAATAGTTTAATCAGTTGTGTAAGCATTTTATTAAGGATTTATATACAATTTTGAGGCCTGTAAAGTGAAGATTATGCAGCATAGCTAGGGTTTTGGTTCATTATTCATCACAAATTTGCCTTGTAAATCAAGTTTTAAACCCTAACTTCTTGCCTTTGATTCTCTTAGCTCAAGTATAATCTCAATAAGTTCTTTGGCATTTTGGAAAGCTTGTAACATCCTCTACAACCTTCATGTTTTCTATTTTTGAATAATACAATTGGAACTTGATGAAAATTGGCCAAGAATTTGGGATAAAAACCTGACCAAACTTGCTGAAAATTTCTAAGTGTTTATACAAAAATGCCATGAATTCATGAATTTATAACTCAAAATCCAAGCACTTCTAGGTCTTGATCAGCAAAGCAAAGTTGTAGATATCATCAAGATCTACAACTTTAATGTTGAAAGTTTTCTTTGAATCGTCTTGCATCTTGGTGAAAAAAGGGCATGAAGTAATGAAATTATCATGTATAAAAAACACTTGGAAAAATTTATAAGTCTTGAAAAGTTTGACTTTTCATATTGACTTTTGACTTTCTTGATTTCTTGATGATAAAGATTTGTATTTTGAATGTCTTAATGAATTTTGATTCTTGAAACTTAATGTTGATGAAAAAAGTCAAAGTTTGACTTTTTAGTGTACCGTTGACTTTTTCATCAGTTGACCAAATTTCATTTGTCAATCCAATGATCTTGAGAGATGTTTTGAGCCATAAAATTAGGTCAACATGTTGCATTTGAATCCTTGAGACCATTTTTCAAACCAATAGATTGTGTATTAGGTCAAAAGTCAGTGATCAGTCATTCTCAGTCAAAACCCTAATTTGTGGCATCAGTTTTGAGGAGATGGCTTGACCTAGTCAATACTTGTGCAAGCTTGAGCTTTTGAAGATCTTTTGTGAGGAATGTCTTGAAAAAGAGAGGGCAAATTTTTTGGTACAATAATACCTTCTCGTGAAGATACTTAAAAACAATATTCTTCTGGCCTGCTTCATAGATATTATATTGGTAGAAAATCTAGTATTAGTAACATCACCAAAGAAGAAATTGTAAAGGTAGAAATATTTATGGTTTGAGTTTTAAAGTGCATGATTTAGGAAAATTCTTTGTAGAGGCCTAATAGAAAAGAAAAAATGGTCAACAAAAACAATATGTGCAAAAAGTATCATTCAAGTGACATCTAATGTGGTAAATGATAAAAGTTAAGAAGGGTACATGAGTGGTAACAATTTGATTGAAGAACTGTTCGACGTGCGGTTCTCCGGATAAATCTTTTCAGTTAACAGTAAAATAACAAATCATAACAAATCATAATGTTGATAGTTAAGAAGCATATTATATAGGTCAGTGAGTATCAGTGCTTGCTTACACATTTATAAAGTAACCAGCATTGGAAAGACATTTCACTTTAGCTTGTTTTGGTAAAAGAGCTTGAAATTTATCATAATTCAGTAATGCAGTTAATCTTCCGGCCAAACATCTTGAGAAAACGGCCTGTAGATACAAAATTAACAACAAAGGTGTTGTTTTCACATTCAAACATTATGAACAAATTTGGTGAATACTACATGGAATTTCACTATACAATAATATTTAACGAACAATTCATTTGTTTTTACCATCCAACTAGCCCTTGAGTTGTCCAAATTTATCGATGAATCATATCCCATTTTATTACTTATAACTCAAATAAATTACAATCTAAAAAACCAATAAGATCTTCCCTTAATCTATAAGGGAAACACCGACATATATATTAGCTCTACATTATATATCAAATTCAAAATCTACCTTGCATAACTTGATACATTATATATCAAATTCATAAGCCCTTCATCAATTCAAACAAGCAAAAATCCATTAGAAAAAAAAGTCAAACTAAATCAAATTAAACCTACATTAAGCACTTAAGTAAGAAGGGAGAGAATTTCTAGTTTGTATCATACATCATCATGATTGTCATCGGTTCTCATCATCAAGCCATCACCTTACTGATTCATACGTGCATTACCTGCATACAAAGAAAAGAAACAAAGTTCAGTTACAGATTCGTATATCATATAAATCCACATATTCTTCCTCTCATATACACCAATAATAATTGTTCTAAATCTCTGTCAAAATCACCCCTGCCCACAAAATCATCAAATCAACCAGAAAAACTCTAACCAAAAAATCAAAACCCTAACTTTCTAAGAAAATCAAATAAAAACAAAAGAGAGGTGATGAAGCAAGAATGAGGGTCTTCTTCTATGGCAGTGGCTGAAAGCATGTAAACCGATTCACACAGTTTGAAACCCTAAAATCTCAATCCAACCAATTCGCACACCGTAAACCGATTCACACACTATTATTATTTCAGTGTTACACCAAAATAACAAAAAAGAGAGAAGAAGATGGTGACGATGTTATCGAAAACAAAAACTTGACGATAGTATAAGAAGAAAAAGATGGAGAATGTTGAGGAAGAGGAATAAGAATAGGGAGAAAGAGGAAGAATCAGTGCTCAGTCGAGAGAGAGGAGAGAGAGAGAGAGAGAGAGAGAGAGAGAGAGAGAGAGAGAGAGAGAGAGAGAGAGAGAGAGAGAGAGGAGAGGAGAGAGAGAGAGAGAGAGAGAGAGAGAGAGAGAGAGAGTACCATAGGGAGTCTGAAAAAATAAAATTTGAATTTTGAATTAAAGGTATCATTGGAATAAGAGATAATTGAAAAATAAATTAAATTGGAATAATGTAATATCATCGACCCATTCAAAGAGAGTGAACAAAAACATAAAACAACAACCATTATTTCCAGAGCCCCAAATTTTCTTATATGTTAGATTTGTTACCATTATTTACACGCTATTTATTTACACCACATTGTAAGAATGATGTGTTTAAATCATTCAACTCATATAATAAACACAAAACCTTACTACTAATCCACATATTTTAAAATATTTTTTTAATTCGTCAAGCTATCTTTGGATTGATGGAATGAGATGGAGCGGAATAGAATGATATGAAATAAAATGATATTTTATTGTTTGAATAGTTTAAAAATGGATGGAGTGGAACAGAATAGAGTGATATGAATTTTATTTCATTCCATCACTTATCACAATATTTCTTCTCCTCTGATTTGAGCGGAGTGAACAACTTACATTGTTTCGTCTTAAAATTTCCAAATAATATAAATGATATTTTCGTTCCGCTATTCTCCATTTTGCTCTATTCCATTCCACTTCATTCTATTCCGCTTCGTTCATTTCATAATTTTCAACTATAACCCAAAACTCATATTTATTTATTTTAAATTTAATAATAAACTAAGGTTCAAACATATATTATTTTTTACATAGATCAACCGTATAAGATAGACTAAACACATAATTGCAATCAGATACTATATGTATGAATATGCATACGTGATGACGATGATGTCTGAAGCAAAACACACATAAAAAAAAAAAACATTAAAAACAGAGAAAATAATTGCTATAGTAATTTGTGAAGGGTATAACACAAACAATTCCAAATCCAAATTACAGATTCAAAGAGAGAGGAAGAAGAAGATCTCATCAAGAGCAGCGAGAGAAGCTTCTCGGGAAGAAAGTGGCCCAACACAACGCAACCATGATTTCCAATTCCACACTCCAAATAATGTAACTTCACCAGCTCCGATTTATGCCCCAAACCCACTTTCTTTGTAAGTTATCGTCGTTTCATCGTCATTCCATAGATTGTTTTTTTCTGTGACCCTTTTGTTTAATTTTAGTTTAATTTCAGAAATGGGTTATGCCCATTGGATTAGATCATTGTTTTGATTCCCAAAGTATGATTTTTTAGGGAAATTTGGTTGCTTAGAAGGATGAGATTCAATGTCAGATCTAAGGCTATTATCATTCTATCATTATATATAATTTGTTTTGGCAATTTTGATGTGATATATGCTTAAAGTTGTATTATGGATTTCATCTGAATTGACTTCAATTATGAAGTATGGCCTCTTTCTGATTGTGTTTGTATATATGATCTCTTCCGAATTCAATACGCCTATGTATGCTTGCATCCATGATGTATTTTTTTTCAAGATTCTAGAGTTGTAGGAGGTCCTAAGTAATGCCGAACTTATCTCGCTGTACTTATTGGTTTGTTTTTTGTGTTGGTTTTGCTAGGGCTTTTGTTCATCTCTGCATTGTTCTAGTAAATGTCAAGCCGATCCTTTTGTCAAAATGGGACATTTAAAGATGCAAATGCCAGCTGGTTTCAATGGAATAGAGGATCAATCGGAGCAATGTGGTGCTGGATATCCTAACAAAACTACTATAGCATGCATGATCAATGCAGAAATTGGTTCTGTTTTGGCGGTAATGCGAAGAAATGTTAGATGGGGAGTTCATTATATGTCGGATGATGACCAGTCAGAGCACTTTCTTGTTCAGTCTTTGAAGACACTGAGAAGACAGATTTTTTCATGGCAGAAGCAATGGCACTCCATCAACCCTGCCTTGTATCTCCAACCTTTTCTCGATGTGATTCAATCAGATGAAACTGGTGCTCCGATTACTGGTGTTGCTCTGTCGTCGGTGTACAAGATCTTAACACTGGATGTGATTGATCAAAACACAGTTAATGTTGTTGATACCATGGACTTGGTGGTTGATGCTGTCACAAGTTGCAGATTTGAGGTGACTGATCCTGGATCAGAAGAAGTGGTATTAATGAAGATTTTACAAGTTCTTCTAGCATGTGTGAAAAGTAAAGCATCTGTAATACTGAGTAACCAGCACATTTGCACTATAGTGAATACTTGCTTTCGTATAGTTCATCAAGCAGGAACCAAAGGTGAGCTGTTGCAGCGGATAGCTCGATATACAATGCACGAACTTGTTAGGTGTATATTCTCCCACCTTCAAGAGATTGACACTGCAGAGAGTTTATCTATAAATGGGACCACCACTCCAGAACAAGAGGTATAATATATGTGTTCCTTTCTCTCTTTTGGTGTGATTATTTTGTTCAATGTTATGGAAGAAAAATGGAGACTCCTTTTTGGGGAGAGGGGGAATTGTTGAACACATGTATATAAAATCGGTAATATGTATTGATATGTTCATCTTTTTTGCAGACATGTGAGCTAAATAATGAGCATGTTTCGGAAAGCAGACAATTCGAAAACGGGAGCCTGACCTCTGAATATGATGGTCAACATTGTCCACGAGCCTTGCTTCTAGTACTGCATATATTGGTACAGAAACTGTAATGGCTGAAAACACTGCTACTGCTAGTAGTGACAAGGAGAGTGATCTACAAGAATTGCAGCTCATGACTGAACCATATGGAATTCCCTGTATGGTGGAGATATTTCACTTCTTATGCTCTTTGTTGAATGTTGTTGAGCATATGGGAATGAATCCGAGGTCAAATACACTAACATTTGATGAAGATGTGCCTCTTTTTGCCTTAACTTTGATTAATTCAGCCATTGAGTTGGGAGGGCCTTCCTTTCGCCATCACCCTAGATTGCTGAGTTTAATTCAAGATGAAGTATTCCATATTCTTATGCAATTCGGTTTGTCTATGAGTCCTCTTGTACTTTCATTGGTATGTAGCATTGTTCTCAATTTGTATCACCATCTTCGGACAGAACTGAAACTACAGCTAGAAGCATTTTTTTTCTTGTATAATTTTGAGGCTTGCGCAAAGCAAATACGGGGTTTCATATCAGCAACAGGAGGTTTTGATGGAAGCACTTGTTGATTTGTGCAGACAAAAGACATTCATGTTGGAGATGTTTATTAACTTTGATTGTGACATTACTTGCAGTAATGTCTTTGAAGATATTGCTAATCTGTTGTCCAAAAGTGCTTTTCCAGTAAATAACCCATTATCCTCCATGCATATTCTTGCTTTGGATGGTCTAATTGCTGTAATGCAGGGAATGGCAGATAGGATAGGTAATGGATTTGTCAGTTCAGAACATTCTCCCGTGAATTTCGAAGAGTACATACCGTTCTGGCTGGAACAGTGTGAGAATTTTGGGGATCCAATGATTGGGTTCCTTTTGTCCGCCGAAGAAAGTACTTCAAGAGAAGATTGATGATTGGAGCTGATCACTTCAATCGTGATGCTAAGAAAGGCCTTGAGTTTCTCCAAGGAACACATCTTTTGCCTGACAAACTTGATCCCCAAAGTGTTGCATGCTTTCTCAGATTCACCGCTGGGTTGGATAAAAATGTCATTGGCGATTTCTTAGGAAATCATGATGAATTCTGTGTTCAGGTTCTTCCTGAATTCGCTAGAACATTTGATTTTCAAGATCTGACCTTAGACACAGCTCTGCGAATATTTTTGGAGACTTTTAGGCTGCCTGGAGAATCACAGAAGATACATAGGTGCTTGAAGCTTTCTCGGAGAGATATTATGAACAGTCACCTGATATCCTAGCTAACAAGGATGCTGCACTTGTATTGTCATACTCCATTATAATGCTTATACAGATCAGCACAATGTGCAGGTCAAAAAGAAGATGACGGAAGCAGTTTTTATCAGGAATAATAGGCTTATAAATGGCGGCAAAGATCTACCTCGAGAATTCCTGTCAGAGATTTACCATTCAATTTGTAAAAATGAAATCCGCACAACACCTGAATCGGGCTTTGGATCTCCTGGATTGAGCCCAAGTCGGTGGATTTCTCTAATACACAAGTCAAAAACAACTGCTCCATACATCGTATCTGACTCCCAAGCATACTTAGATTATGATATGTTTGTTATATTGTCAGGCCCAACAATCGCTGCCGTTTCTGTGGTATTTGATAATGCTGAAAACGAAGAGGTATACCAAACATGTATGGATGGATTCTTAGCTATTGCAAAGATATCGGCTTACTATCATCTTGAAAATGTTCTTGATGATCTGATTGT